CAGACTATAGACGTTTTTATTTATTACCATTTAATAAGGATGTCATGCCTCAGATGTCTATGGAGCAAATTGTGATTTACCGTGTCCAAGGAATTGCCAGGAGGGTCACTGTAACATTGTGGATGGTACATGTCTTGGATGTGTTGTCGGATACAAAGGTCCACGATGTGAAGAACGTACGTAAACACAAGCCATCCTGAAAATAGGAGAGAGAGAGAGAGAGAGAGAGAGAGAGAGAGAGAAACCTTTTGAAACGAATTCTGATTACTGATTTTGATCTCTCAGTTTCCTTGATCAAATCACAATACAAACAGCTCAAGGCGGGTCTGACCCGGTCGACAGAGGATAATATCTCAGGCATCTGATCCCAGTTCTGGTTTTCTCCGGGGTTAGTGTTTTGCGACGATCTCGACTTCTATTATTTAGAGAGTTTTGAGATCGATCGCTGTCCTTAGCTTCCTTTTTTACACTTCAAATACATGTATGTCTTTAGGTAATACATGTACTTAATGCTTTCTATTTTGACTTAAATCAAATTAAAAAAAAAATTACCTTTTTAGATCTTAGTTTTATTTGGTGCGAAATTTAAAAAAAATGATTTCTAAAAGGTTAAGCTCATACGGTAATGTATCAATTCCCTGATACTATATAAATAATGCAATTTTACTCCTACAATAAATAAACTTCACTCATATTGGATTCCATTTTTTCAAAGTAGAGTTGCAAATAAAATAATTTAATTTTTTTTCTTTTTTCATGTGTATATTCTAAAATAAAATTTACAGAATGTGACAATCATAGATTCGGTCTTGAGTGTAAGTACACTTGTGGTAACTGTAGTAGCGGAGAACAATGTAATCACGTGAACGGAAGTTGTCCAAACGGATGTGACGTTGGTGTTCAAGGAAATAGGTGTGACAAAGGTGAGATATTTTGCTTTTCATGTGCGCAAATCTTTGAAATTACTTTCCTTAAAAAAATTGTCTATTGACAAAAGTGTTTCTAAATGACAAATGGGAAAAATCATGCAGTACTGCAATGACTTAAAAGCTACGAACCTGAAAAAGGATAACATTACTTTTTAATTTGGAAATCATGTTCAGTGAATCTAATGCCCTGTTCACACGGAGAGTTTAATTCGCAGTAAATTAATGCGAAGTAAAATAATGCGAATTAAAATAATGCGAATTAAATTGCGTTCACACGACAGATAATGCGAAGTAAACTAATGCGAATTAAAATTTTATTTCTACAGTAAGGCTTTTCAGTAAGGCTATTATGACGTCATTTTCAAATCACGTCACCTTATGCAGAGCAAATCCATTTGACATAATAGTCATAGTGTCTATACACATTTCAGTGATTAACGTAATTTTCCTTTGTTTTGCACTAAAAATGGCATAGGTACCTATAAATGACCACCGTCATGTGGCAGGTGACTTAATTTTGCTCTTACGCATGCGTCAAAATTTAATTCGAATTAGCTTCGCTTAGCGTTCACACGGAGCTAATGCGAAGTAATTTAATGCGCAGTAAACTAATTCGAATTAAACTAATTCGCATTAAATTCTCCGTGTGAACGCGGATCAAATTTAATTCGCAGTAACTTACGTTTAATTCGAATTATACTCTCCGTGTGAACAGGGCATTATAGAAAGGAAATGTCAAAACCTAACTGAAAATTTCTCTAATTGTTATATAGTCAAATTCACATCTATTTTAAAAGTGCCAATTCTCCGAGTCTCCTGATGAAATGTATTGTGTACGTTATCAATGACAACTAAATCATTCGTGATCTTGCGTCGTTAATCTTTTTAATTCTATGGGAACATGCCCATTTTGAAGGCATTGGAAGAATTGTGTTGAATTTTGTTAACTCTACCATAGAGGCTGTAACAGAATCTTTGGTGCCTGTGAGTTTGAATGCTACGCTGGGTGGAAGGGAACTTTCTGTGAAAATGATATTTCATGATGATTTTTCCCCCTAATGTTCTTCGTAAACGTCATCTGTATGTGATCATAGAGATTACACTTTTCAAAATGCTTTTGAAAACAATTTTTTTTTGTCATGAAGAATTTTTTTCAAGTGGGGTATTGAATTGAAGAACATGATAGAAAACAATATTTTTACTTGATTTCAGTGATTTGTCGTATACTGCATTACATCTTAATTGTTTTAAGCTGAAATAACTTATTTATAGTTCATTGAAGTTAAGGTCTTTAGTAGATTGAGATTTCCACAGTAATGCTGAAAATTTATATTTTTAAGTCATGTTTTGCAATTATTTTCCTATCAAATGAAATGGACTACGTTCAAATACATATTATCTAGACGAACTTATGATTGACTTGAATATTGCACAATGTGATGGACAGATAGACGGTGAAAACTGCAGTCAATCATATAACTCGTTATTAAATTTAGAAGAAATACAATCCACACTGTAGGGACATGTTTATTTTTTTTTTCATCTCTTCAGTGTCTTGCATTTATTCCTAACAATAACTTACATTTTGCACATGAAAGATAACTTCTAAAAGTCTTTGAAATAGTTTACGTTATGAGTTGTAAAATATGATGGGTGAATGTACGGACAGAACTGTAATCACTCATGTGGTCTGTGTTTCAATGCAGAACACTGTCATCACATTAACGGAACTTGCACTCAATGATGAATATATTTTTAGGATCTTCATAAATCTTGAAGGTCTATATCAAAAGGAAAAGAAAAACGAAATAAGACATGCATTCTTAACAGTATAAAATCAAACACTGTTGTCCTTTACGTTTAACTAATATTTTTGATACATTTTATTGCCACATATAACTGTTCGCTGAAGTGTCTTTTAAAATCTTTTACACCAAGCTTATCATAGAGGGTTTGGCGTTTAAAACCTCAGTCAGTCGACCCCGGTTTGAACTATTTGCTACGCAATCTACAGTACAATGCATTAAAATCATTAAATTTTTTTTTTTGATTTCGTAGGTGCGTCTGATTTGAAGTTAGATTGCTTATGCGATTTTTTTTTATGTATGTACCGGGTTCCATAGAAATATTTCGTCAAAAGTATACGCAGCTATGTTAAGGTTTCCCGAAGCTTGAAAATGCGCTCAAAACATGATATGTCATTGCAAGGTCGGTTTTGGTTTTAGTTTATAAGTATTGAACTTTAGTACTTCCAATTTATATAAAGGGTTTCCTCGGCTATATATTAACATATTTGTTATGATATCACATGACTTTGTTGATCACCTGACGGTCATTTATAATTTTTTGAAGTGTTTCATATAAATCGCTTCGGCGCAGCTGATTAACACGATAATTATTAACATTTTGTTATATAAATAAACTCATCGTATCCTTGTGTATCCGAAATGTGCTTGGGAAAAGTCATGGTATTACTTGGGTACAAAATACAAGTACAAGATTCAGTTAGAGAACAACCTCTTCTTACAGATTTCCACAAAAATTGTCAGATTAATCCTCATTAATCACCTGCGCCAGACTCTTATACACATAAAATAAATTCTACCTCCAACCACGGGTATAAAACAGAGTACATTTCAAAAGTATATTTTTCATAAGCATTTTGAACATGCTGAATTTCAATCAAGGGTAGGTAAGCGGTGTATTTTTGAAATATTCGGACATATAAGACTTAAAAAACCTTTAACGACCCGTGAATTTTGCAAAAGCTATCTAGCATTTTACATGCAGGTTGAAATAAAGTGTAAAGTTCATGACACTCTCCCCGTCATAACACCTCAAGTTTGCAGTGATTTGACGTCATTTTCCATTATGACGTCATATTTTGGTAGTTCAGAGATGTGAAGGCATAGAGTGCACTGTTGTATTCTACGGGAAGCCTTAACCAACCTGCGTAGTTGACAATGATTAACTGTATTGGACGAAATTATCAGTTTTCACTATAGTTAATAGAAGTTGTATATAAAAAAAAAAATCGCTCAGAATGATCATACTTCAAGAAATGGGCATATTTTATACAGAATTAAAAACATTCCCTCAGTACATGATCTTTTTTAGCAAGTTGTCCCTGCACTTAAAGAACTTATCCATCGTTTCTTCATTAAATGTGAAAAGTATCATTGGGACCTAAATAAGTCATTGTCGAAAATGCGATAAAAAAATTCGCACGCATGGCGAAGTTCTAAGTTGTTAAACTTGTAAAACGCGTTCTCACCTGTTGAAAAAATCAACAACTCGGTCAAGTGTGACTTCCGGTATACGGGGAAACCCTAGTGTGACGTCACATTAGTGAGACATGGCTGAAGCATCAATCGACTCCAAAGATTCCAAGCTCTCTGTATCACTTTCGTGTGAATCATCAAGCTTTGACGAAGATTTTGACAATTGTTTGGAGACACCTGCAGTGGCTCCGTATCAGTTTGAGCCGTATTTAGACTCTGACACAGAACATCCCACTCAACAAAATCAGGATGATCATGATGATGGGAATCCCGATAATAGCCGGCTTAACAACACTAATTGGTATTATTAACTTGATTATACTTTATTTCTTTTCTTTTAATAACATAATGAACATAAATAATTCTGTAATTTTTTTTTAAGTTAAGTATATGCCCTTTACTATAGATTGTCTAAAAGAATTACACCCCTCCCCCTTCCAACAAATAATGCACGTGTTTACATAAAAATTATACATAATTTTCAGACATATATTGAATCTATCTAATAATAAAAATACATGTATACGTATCAAATTTTTCGAAGAAACTTGGAAATAAAATTTCATAATAAATGTATTATACATGTATATTTATCTCCATTAGAGCATTTGGTAATACTTTCTAATTGCTAATCTACTATATTCTATAATGATGTATTTATTTACATATAAGACATAGCAAATGAGTTTTTTGACGTAATTTTAAAATTGACAATTGTATACTTGAAAAAAAAAATCCAAAGTATATGCAAGAATTGAAAATATTTAATTCTTTTTAAATGCATTCTCGGTGCAGCTGTGGACATTGTATTACAGATGCCTTTAGCAAAGGAATGTGTCTGTTGCAAAGAAACAAAGGTCCTCTTACATCTTATGAAAAATGATGGTGTCCAGTGTATAACAGACCACCCAGGATTTGAACCAGTGTGCTTGAATACATATGTACTGGACACAGCATACAACCAATATAAGCATCAGTACAATCATCAAATTCAAAATCTTCCAGCGTGAGTCGAAATAAAAAAAAAATATAAAAGAGGAACAAATATGATTTCATAAAATAGCAAACATCATAAGTAGAATAATTGATGACTATAATGTGTCCTTTTCCAGGCGATACAGGTACACTGCTTACAGACAGCTCGTGAGATGGGCCTGGGGATACCTCGAGAAGCATGTGAGAGTGGTTTTGCCATCATGTGCTCTCAAGAAAATCAGAGGCAGATTCCCGTCTCCACAAGAGGACTATGTTGGTTTTAAGGAAGCAGAGTTAGATTAACAACAACCATCATCACTCATTCCATCATCATCTTGAGCATGCCTATAACGTGATGTCGTCTCTAAAATTGCTGATGCTTTATCAGGTTTTTCAAATGAACTGCATAGAGGAGGTGGTGCTGCAACTCTGTACACTTTTACCTGACTTAATTTTGTTTCTTTGGCATTTTTATATACAACGTCCATGAGCTTACTGACATAATCTACAAGATATAATTGTGTATACGTAGTAATATGTTTTAGTTCAATATGATCTATATATATATATATATATATATATATATATATATATATATATATATATATATATATATATATATATATAGGTATATGAGGTTGTTTGTGGGCACCGACCTTCTAAACAGGTTTGTGGGATCTCGCATTTCTACATTGAATAGCTATGTCATATTCATGATTTAAGCGTTATATATGGTCCTTATATAATATATAATATAATTTTTGAGATAAGATTAAAAATGTTGTATATCATTGTGGGTCATTATTTTCATATATATAGAGCATTGTGGGATAAAGTATATACATCGCACAATGCTCTATTTATGAATATTATGACCCACAATATTATCACATGCTATATATATATCATGTCCTGGATTTTACAATGAAAGACATAAGAATTAATATTTGATATAAATAATATATATGTATATTTACATATGTACAAAATAGAATGAATCATTAAGAACAGTTTTTGGGGATTCAATATAAGATTGTAACTATTACTTTTCAAGTATTTTGGGGTCATACTGCATATTAATGACTCACTGCGATATACGATTTATGAGATTCTGAACAAGATATTTTAGGGATATCCTCTCTCTCTCTCTCTATATATATATCCCATAATCTCTTACATACACATATATATAGTGACAAAGATGATTAATCAAATAATGTCCATCCCACAATGTATTATTTATAATTTATTTATTCATTAAGCAATGTTAGATATTGAACGGCATATTTTATCTATACACCTACTTATCCAAGATTTTCTTATATACATATATATAGTGAACCACATTTAAGCATTGAATTCTTATTTTTGAAAGTAATTATACAGGTATAATCACTGCATTGATTCCATAATGTCCAATCCGTAACGTATTTTTATTGATTCAACATATAGGATAGCAGACTAATATTATGAGATTCTACACTACATATTTTATGCAATCGCCTGTCCCACAATTCGTTATATACATGTATATATATAGTGACCCACAAACAGCTATGATCACTATACGTTTATAACATAATGACCTTCCATTCGTGAATTATTTATTTAAACAATAAAGAGCTTATCAACCTTATATTATGAGATTTTAAACACAATATCTTACGTATATGCTTACATATCCAAAAGTTTATTATAGACATATTTATATCGTGACCCACAACCAGGTATAATCACTATATTTATCCCACAGTTCATTATATACAAATATATACAGTGACCCACAAACATGTATATTCACTATATTTATCCCACAATTCATTATATACATATATACAGGGACCCACAAACATGTATAATCACTATATTTATCCCACAATTCATTATATACATATATACAGTGACCCACAAACAGGTATAATCACTATATTTATCCCACAATTCATTTATACATATATACAGTGACCCACAAACTGTTACAAGCACTACATTTTTATATACATTATATACAGTGACCAACAATCAGGTATAATCACGTGCAATATATTTATCCCACAATTCGTCATATCTATATATACAATGACCCACAAACAGGTATAATCACTTCATCTATCCCATAATTCAGTCCGTTACCATAATATATTTACTATTACCATAATTTATTTATTCAATTTACAGCTTATCAGCCATATATTAGAAATTCTTAACAAAATATTTTATCCCTGCGCCTACATATCCCACAGTTGCTATATACGCATAGAAAGTGAAATAAAATAGGTATAATCATTACCTTAGCCCGGTAATGTCCATCTCATAATATTTTATTCATTTATTCAATATTTTGACATTATTAAAAATATTATTTCATGCATAACACCTATACTTATCCAATAATTTCTTACATATACATGTAGTGACCCACAAACTGGTGCATTCATTAGACTGATCCCATAATGTTTATCGTATCGTACTAATATTTTATATATCAATATACAGCTAATTAGCCTTATATTATGACACTCTTGCATGTTACACTTTTCTTGCAATCGCCTACTTTTCAAACAATTTCTCATATACATGTAAATCATGTATATAGTGACCCACAAACAGGTAATAGAATGTACTATACATTGATCCCATAATGTCCAACTCGAAAGTGTATTAATTATTTATTCATTATGCAACTTATCAGCCGAATTTATTTGATTCTTAACAAGATATTTTATCTAAACGCCTCCTTATCCCAGAATTTCTTTTAAATGTAATTATTATTTAACCAAAAACAAGTATAATCATCGCGTTTAAATCCCTTAATGGCCAATCCATAACGTATTTTGTTCTTTATTCAACATACAAGTTATCAAATTAATATTATTAGATTCTCACAATATATTTCATGTAATCGCCTGTTTATCCAACAATTCGTAATATACATATAGTGACCCACAAACTGGTATGATTGCTAAATTAATCACATAATGTCCATCCCAAAATGTATTATTTATGTCTTCAACACAGAGCTGCTTATCAACCTTATATTATGAGATTTTTAACAAGATATATTTAATCTATATATATGCTTACGTATCCAATAGTTTTTACGCATATTTAAAAATAGTGAACCTCAGAGTGGCATATAATCACTTTATTTATCCCACAATATATTTATATATACATATGTACAGTGACCCACAAACATGCAGGTATAGTGACTATAGTTATCCCACAATTCGATATATACATATATACAGTGACCCACAAACAGGTATAGTGAATATAGTTATCCCACAATTCGATATATACATTTATACAGTGACCCAGAAACCGGTATAATCACTTCATTCATCACATAATGTCCATCCCATACCATAATATCATTATAATATGATGATATTCTTATCATTGAAGAGAAAGGTTTTAAGCGTCAGGTGCCTGTGCATTGGTCCTAATAATTTACAGGAAGGGGGTGTATCCTGTGAAAAATTTTACATAATGTACAGTAGTTAAGAAGATTTTAAAGATTGCATGAATTTTGATGGATATATGCCGACACAACAAACATCAAAAGGCTAATTTAAAACTGCAATATTTCGACTAATATTATCTGCTGAACACACTCAACAAAATGTATTTGAAAGCAAATATATGACAAGAAATTTTACTCCCTTTTTACACAACTTTGATATTATTCAATTAGAATTACTAATAGTTAAACATCTCATTTAATAAATATTCTTATTATAATCGACCTTCATAATCCACCCATTTCAATTCAATTGACTGAGTATTAACGAAGAATATTTTACAACCAGGGTTTTAATTTGCCCGTACAGGTCCGACAGCACCAACCCATTTTACCAACACTCGAATTTTGACAATGGAAGGTTATTTTCAATAAAGAAGTGATAAATTTTATACCGAACACATCTATCGTATTCTGTATCATAAACCGACAATGCAAACGGCGTGATATCTGACATGTACATTGTGAACAGAATCAATAAAGTTAATTTTGATAACTGGTCATCATGGTCATTATTTAGGGGATTATTATTGAAGGATGATTCTAAGATTTGATCCTGAGAGAGGATTTTGGGGCGGGCCATGTCTCTTTTATTGTTTCCTCACAAACCAACCTAATTTGAATACAACTTTATTTTGTACGATATAGGTATCGATACACACAGATTAAAAAAAGAAATTCGTGGTATATGTATGTTGATATTGAAAAATATATATCATTTTTCATATCTGTTCGGTAAGTTAAAAAAATATCAAAAATTATAAAAGGTTTGGTATAACTTTAGGAGTAAGGGATTGAACGGAGACCCGCTGAGAAAACTGCGTTTAAAGAGGTTCGCTCCTCAGATTTTGAGCATATTTTTGGTTTGATGTCTATTAAAAAAATCTGCATATTATTTTAGTTCCTTCAATAAATTTTGAGTCTACAATGCCAATTAAACTATATTCAATTAAAATTCCAAGATTAAATTCCATACCAAAAGCATTAGGAGAGGAAATATATCTTCTGACGGAAGTTTTTTTTTTTCAGAAAAAAATGAGATTTTTCTTTTTCAAAGAATTTACACCACTGTTAAGTTTGAATTCCTATTTTTCCATGCAAGTTGCACACAGAGTTATTCTGTGCAGTGAAATGTTTTATCTTGGTCCCAAATTATTCATCAAATTAACTGCCATGAATTTTATTATCATCTTGTGAAAAATATAGCAAATTTATTGTGAAAGTCCAGATAAAATAATAGCCTCACTTTATGCTAAAAATTGACACCATTTAATAATATCTATGAAAAAAGAAAAAAAATTACATAAACCCCCACATTTAATTTTTTTTAATATAATTATAACCATTCTGCTGAAATTCAGCAAAATCTTTATATTCTGAAATGATTGACTGCTTGTTTAATGTTTAACGCCGATTATTCTGTTTAAATGATCAATTTTTGAAAGTTTTGGTTTCTCTGGCTGCCCCCGATGAGCCTACTCTTTTTCGAAATCCAGAGAAACGATCTTGTTGTAATCCTCGACACGGGGCACAATTTAATGTCCCATCCAACGGACTTAAAAATACGTTTTCCATTTTTAATGAAGCTGTATGTGTTGTATAAAAAAATATACTACTGGGTATTTTTAATGCTTTTTGTAACATGACCCATCTCCTTAATCGCAGTAATTAATGCGTTTAAACAAACAAAAAAGACTGCGACCAAGTTAACGGCTTATTTTGGGTCCGTACAGGTAACGGAAAATGCAAAGTAATATGGTGGACAAACCTAGATTTCTTCCCTTTACGAATCGCGTTCAGCTTTAACTTATAAACCGTATCAAATAAAAAGGAATTTTCTGGATTGCCGTACTGACCGGTTATATGTACCGACTTTGGTCCAAACGTACATTGTATCAGGATATATCAGTTTATCATTACAACACTACATAAGCATCAAAACATTTCTTGAAAATTTACCAAACATTGACTTTTTGTGAAAT